AATTACTTCATTGATCACCAACTACATTCTCTGTCGTGTTGTCAAATCAAACTCGAAATCACCTTGGTATAATACGACTTTAAAAAGGCTGTCTAATAAGAAAAAGCGCTTGTTTCGAGCAGCTAAATCATCAATGTCTCCCGATCGCTGGGCCGCGTACCATTCGGCAGCTGAAGTATACAAATTGGCCGTCGATGAAACTAAATATAACTTCTTCAGCATAAAATTACCCTCAATGCTCACTAACAATCCAAAACAGTTTTGGAACTTAGTCAACCCTGCCGACAAACATTTAATACAACTTAAAAATTCAGGCGGAGAGGTGATTTCTGGTGAAGATTGCGCTATGACTTTCAACGAAAGTTTCATCAGTGTCTTTAGTGATTTCTTAGGTGCCAACCATCCCGTACTACCATCTTCTGATTTTTTGCCCATGTTACCAATTGTGTTTGATCCACCCGGTATTGTTAAAATTATTGAAAACCTCAAGCTGTCGTCGGCATCAGGTGTCGACGAGATAAACGCGAAATTTCTAAAAAATACCAAAATGTACTCCTCAATCATCTTGTCATCTTTGTTTCAACAATCACTTGATCATGGCGTCTTACCCGAGGACTGGAAGGTAGGGAAGGTTGTTCCAATTCACAAAGCTGGTGACCGTTTCTCCCCTTTCAATTACAGGCCAATATCTCTTACTAGCGTACCCTGCAAAATCATGGAGCACATAATTTCTTCACAGCTCTCGCGTTTCCTGGAGTGCAACTCCTTCTTTAGCCCTTTTCAACATGGATTCCGCAAATCTTTCTCGTGCGATACTCAGCTTTTAGTTTTCACCCACAACCTCCACTCGGCTCTGGAACGTGGATCTCAGACTGACTGCATCTTTCTGGACTTTGCAAAGGCTTTCGATAAGGTAACACATAAACTACTACTATACAAGCTTAGCCTACTCAGTATTGATCCATATATATTATCTTGGTTAGAGTGTTTCCTCACTAACAGATCGCAATTTGTAACTGTCAGTAACAAAAACTCGTCATCGTCCCTCGTTAAGTCCGGTGTACCACAGGGTTCTGTCCTAGGCCCCCTCTTATTCTTAGTATATATAAATGACCTACCTACTAGCATTTCCTCCTCCATAAGCGTATTTGCGGATGATTGCGTTGTTTACCGTGAAATTACTAATGACTCTGACGTACACATAATTCAATCTGATATAAATGCAATTTCTTCCTGGTGTGATGCTTGGCACATGAAACTAAACACTATGAAGTGTAAGACAATGAGGATTTCTCGCAAAGCAGCACTCTGTCCTAACTACTTCCTATCAAATAACATCCTTGAAAACGTATCAACTTACAAATATCTAGGTGTTCATATCTCTCCTGACCTATCATGGAAAACTCACACCGAATATATCGTTAATAACAGTAACCGCATGCTTGGATATTTAAGACGTAACTTTTCTCTAGCTCCATCATCATTAAAATTACTACTTTATAATACACTGGTGCGACCAAAACTTGACTATGCATGCTCGGTCTGGGATCCCGGTACAGAAAGCCTCATATCAGCGCTTGAAGCCATCCAAAACCGGTCAGCACCTTTTATATTATCAAACTACCATCGTACATCAAGCGTCACATCCATGAAAGCTAGTCTCTCTCTGCCCCCTCTTTCCACTCGTCGCACTATCTCCCGTCTCTGTTTATTCCATAAAATTTACTATGCCAATTCACTCTTGAAAGAACAACTAATCAGTGCTCCCATCTACGTATCCTCTCGCCTCGATCACTGCTGCAAAGTTGGTATACCCACTTCCATTTCAAATTCTTTTTTCAAATCTTTCATCCCAAAAACATCTCGTGATTGGAACGGCCTTCCCTCACCCATTGCGTCCATTGGCGATTTTGTCCTCTTTAAAGAAGCTTTAACAAGTTACTATTCATGATCTGTGCCGGACTAACCATTTTCAGCGTTTTTTGTACTTCCGTTGCCCACCCCCTCTGTAATACTTCGGCCCTAAGGGTATAATAAATAAATAAATAAATAAATAACGCAATTTTCGAGCCACTAAAATTGGCAAGTCTATACTCGGTGTCACCTACTGTGCGATGCACTGCTAATGCTATAGCCTAGCGTCCGCAGTGCTCCAACTCTGTTAATGCACAGAAGCCGAAAGGCGTATTATCTTTCTCGACAGCGCTTTTCGCAGTAATGATAAAAAAACACACAGACGCAGAACAGCTCGTTTTATCAACGTGTAAGCGCGCACACACACACACCCAACGTATTATCCTTGTCATTCTTCGATTGACGCGCCCCTTTTTGCGTTTCGATGCACAAAACACGAATTTCGGAGCAACTAGCTGGCCGTATTCTCGACGTCGACTATTGTGTGCTAAAGGCCCTGTTATACTCCGACGTAACGCGCGCGCAAGCGAACGCTGGCCGAAGTCGGCTACGTCACGTCGGTCACGCCGCGCGCGTCGAAAATTCGACCTCTCTATACTCCGGCCGCCCTGGCGACTCCCGCGGCGCGCGTCGGTGGGTCGCCAGCGCGGCGCATGCGCAGAATCTGGCTACGAGGGCACGTTTCCTGTGAGAGTGCGTCACTTCCGGTTCCTTTTTGTTTCAAATAGCAGACAAAAATGCTCGCGCTTCTTGGGCGCCAAGTTCGAGCGAAGGCGTCGACGTACCTTGCACGACGAAAACTCGCGCTTGCACTGTTGGTGCACCACCTGCGCCGCAAGCGTAGGCGGTCAATGTACATACGGTACATCTTTGTCAAGCGCACGGTCTACGGTACTCAAGCTTCCTCGTGTCGTAGACACACGGGTGAGGACGAATTCCCTCGATCAGATTCTCGACGACCGAGTCCGATTCTTCAAACATGACGCCATACGGAGTGGTGCTCCTGTCGTCTGCTTTGCTCGTATTCGCCGCGCTGCCCGCGCGAGGGCTACTGGGAGCCAGCGCGTGATGCATCCTGGTCCGGCGTCGCTGACGCGGCCGGCGCGGAATAGGGCATGCTCCATTTTGGCGCCGAGGCGGTTATGCTGCGTCGAACGCCGCCGGTCGCGTCGGTTACGCCAAGACGCCGGAGTATAGAGCGTCGGGTTTTCGCCGACGTGGCGTCGCTGTGACGCGCTCGCACGCGCGCACGCGTTACGTCGGAGTATAACAGAGCCTTAAGTCACCAAAACTAGTGTAGCTTCCACAGCACTCCTGCACAGTATTTCACAGCGCGTGCGAACAAGACGCTAGATAAAGCCGAGTACTTTCGCACCAGCGCGAGCTGCAGCGCTGCGGAGAGTACGCTGGCCTTGGAAATGTCGCACGAAATGGTTGACGCTAACTATAGTTACCTCTACAGTGAAGTCACTGAGTCGCTTTGTGCGCACAAGTAACATAGAAGCGTCAACAACGAAATCTTGCCGTTTACTTGTTGAGAGCCAATCGGTCAATGTAGAGCCACTAAATAAACGTGGCTCGAGAAAAGCGACAAGTTAGGCGTATGTTTTGTAGAATAATTACCGCCCTTTGTAACCAGCTTTTGCCGACGTCCCTAACGAAAAGTGCGTGAAAGTTTTTTCTGTCGTTCTACTTCCTTAAACGGTTTGCAGCAAAGCAATATGACCAATTTCTTATTTTGCACCCCATCTACCGAAAAAAAAAGCGTTTCAGAATCTTAATTGTCGCAAACGGCAACCAACCAAGAAAAGGGCGGAGTCCACAAAACCACTCGACGTATAAACAAATTTGTCCCGAACTGACGAATGACGAATCGTGGCGGAGTCGGACAATTGAGGCAAAATTTGCCAATGCTCTAAAAATAGCTTTTTTTAATTTTAGATTAGCTGTTCGCAAACATTTCTGGGTAAGTGGTCGGATTAGAGATATCTCAAAGTCTAGACGGCGGAGAAACAAATGTGTATTTAGAATGGTGGAATACGTAAATAAATAAACTTAAATGAGCACTTAAATGACGAAACGAATGTTATAAGTATTAAAAATTCTAAGACAAATGAATACATATAGTTCGATTTAAGATGAAGTATTTAGTCAATTATGACGATACACAATTGTGGTCTAGTAACCTCACCAAGCATAAATCAAAGCGTTTCAAAACCTTGGCATGCGCTCAGTGTGCTATAGCTTCATGAGAATGTTAAAAGTAATGCTGACAATATGCAAGAGTTACGACAGAGGATACTAGGCACAAGACACGCGAGAACGCAAATGAATTAACATAGTTACAGTGATATGAAGCAGGGGATAAGAATGGCGATGATGGTGATGACAGTGTACAATGAATAGTACGAAGAGAAAACCCGCGTTGAGGTAATGTTTCTCTCGTTCCTTTTGGTATCTTCGTTTGCACCTTAGGAGCGCTCATTGCGGCGCCATTTCTTTTTTACGCGTACTTAATTTTGCGCCCGTAGCATCGCCTCTGTTGGAAACGGGCCGCGAACCGGGCTTCGTAGAAAGGAGTGCGGGTGCCGCGAGCCGTTTGGAAGAGTTCTGAGGGCCGAATGGTGGCCCGCGGGCCATGGTTTGAAGGCCCCTGTTTTAGATTGATCATATCAAAGGAATTAAGACGTCAAGACAGAAGAGAGTGACTGTTCTCTCACTGAGTTTAAAGTGTATCATGACTCTCAGCGACCTAGCACCGGATTATTATCGTTCAAAGGGGTGTTATGGCAACACCTATTTAATAACAAGAATGCGGTGCTGAATTTCTGTCCTGACCCAGCAAGGGCGTGTGTGGGGAATACACTGGATGGGACTGCAGCTTCAGCTATCAGGGCAAACTGGTGACCCTAATGTTACCAGACGAGTACGAGTTGGTGTTTATGATAGGTTAGTAGGGGTTTTGCGGTCGGTGCGTGCTCGAGACAGACACTGTCTCGAACATTTTTTGTAGGGTGCTGTAAAATTTTGCCTGCAGATAATATTTAGTTTAGGTTGCTTGCATAATTAAGGACATAAATACTCACACCAATGATGTCTTTCCATGGTTCCTCCGTTTTGGTCATTTGCAGCCACACCTTGTAGAACACGAACTGTGCACAGAACACGAGGAGGCATTCCCCGTCGTCTTTCAGCAGCGTGCCGATGTTGCGGAACACTGCCTTTTGGTCTCTGATCCAGTGCAGGCAATAGAACGAGTAAATGCGGTCAAACTTGCCGTGCTTGTCGAGAAACGCAGACACGTCTGAGGAACCCGCATCAAGGACGTCGTAGCAGATATCTGGATGTCCGTAGTTTCTTTTCGCGTAGTTCAACATGGATTGGGATATGTCGATGCCTACAATCTTACGGCATGGATGATTCCAGTGAAGCAGCACGTCTCTCGTAAAGTCTCCGATGCCGCAGCCGATGTCAAGGATCTGATGGCACCTACTAGAAGGAATTCTGAATGTCGTCCTTTCCAGAGCTTTGATGCTGTTTCGCCTAACAGTTTCGCTAATACGTTCGTAAAGCTCTGGATCGAAGGTCTCAATCATGGTTTTAGTTCTTCACTGTCGCGGACAATAGTGACGCGCTTGACTGATGGCACTTGTTTGGCGTTAGTGCTATGTGTGAGTTTCAAGAAGTGCCACCCTTTTAACTTCAAAGTTGTCACCGTTTATCTTCAAAGTTGTCAGTCGGCTTCTCTTTTACTGCTGCGTCGCAATCACTATCGCACACTCCCAGTCGCGAGTACGTCAACGTCCGAGCCATTCATTTGCTTTTCATGCGCTTTGCGTATCTAGAAAAAGAAAAAAAAAAACATATATTCAACACATTCTTCGAGGCTGTTTTGTAGAGAGTAGTGACGAACATAAAAAAAAAGCTGCTGACACCATTCACGGACGGCCCTTGCCTATGCCAGAACTTATTATCTCTGAGCCAGGAATTCTTCTCTTCCTACTCGAGATTGACACAAACAGATCTGTAGGACTGATAACGCATTTTGAAGCGGTATCCCGTGTTGGTTTCTAATGAGTGGTATTTTTTTGTTGCTTAGTGCTGACGTTTACAAAGGCACCAGCATCTTCTGGCTGACTGACAGCGATGTTGGTACCAAGACACAATTTTGGAGACAAACAGGCAGTTTAAAATTGTAGGCCAACAATGCTTACGTTTCCATAAAGAACGTTGCTCAGCATATAGACCTCTTTCGAAATTTGGGTGCCAATTATTAGAAGGTCGAAGCCACTCAAGAACGGCGGAAAAACTGATATCGTGGAACGTGCAAGACTTTCCATAACGTAGCGAACATCGGAGCGTGACCAACGCTAGGAGCCGACGAGCCATTCGATCAAACCGAGTCGAAAGTGAAACGCCAGAGTTTGTGATGGGTCACAATGGGATTCTTAATTTACTAAATAACATTAAAGTTGAAAATTCGATAGGACCCGACGGTATCACGAACCATGTTCTCAAATCGTGTGCTGACATTATTAGTTGCCATATTTTCATTATTTTTACCCAGTCGTTGCAGTATGGTTCATTGCCTCACGACTGGAAACATGCGAATGTTGTACCAGTGCATAAATCTGGAGCCAGGAACAGTGTTGAGAACTACAGACCAATATCGCTAACGAGTGTTTCATGCAAGATAATGCAGCACATTATTTATAGTAATCTGATCTCGCACTTGAATACTAATTCTTTTTTACTCCCGCGCAACACAGTTTTTGAGCCGGGTATTCTTGCGACACCCAATTGACTGAATTTACCCAGGACTTAACTCAATCAGTGAACAGTAGAAGGCAAATCCATTGCATTTTTTGAACTTCCGAAAATCTTTCGATACAATTCCGCACCGCTTTATTTTAGAGAAAAAATTCGGAGCTTAAATATTGATAGGAACGCGTATACTATTGGATTACTAAGTATTTGAGCGATCGTAAACAATGTGTACCTGTAAATGGTGTGAAGTCTCACCCAGTTGATGTAAATTTTTCGAGGGCGGCTGAGGGATTTTTGCGGAAAGCAGTTGGCAACACTGGACCTCGGCGTCCAGATTGCGAGACGAAATTGCGGGACATGAAGGAGAACACTCGAGGGAACGCCCTGACGTTTCCAAACAAGCCCGCGTTTGCCCACATCGAGTGTGGACATTGCGCGTGTACAGAGTACCACAAGGGCCACTCCTTTTTTGAATTTTGGAAATGACATAACCCAGGAAATTGCCTCGCAAATAAGGCTGTACGCTGACGACTGCATTTTGTATTATGAAATTAATTTAGACTCTCATGTATCGGCTCTTCAAAGCAATTTACACAGAATTTGCTTGTGGTGTTCAAATCGGAAAACGACATTGAGCATCCCAAAGTGTTGTAATGTAAGGTTTCCAAGAAAACGGAACGCTCTGCAGTCAACACGGATAAACTTTACTCGTTCACAAAGAAGCTAAATATCTAGGGGTACTTTTTTTCTGAGGATTTGAGATGGCTTTCACATGTGAACTACGTAGGAGGGAATGCTAGTTGAACGCTGGGTTTTCTAAGAAGAAACATCTCGCGCGCTCCACCATTCCTCAAACAGACTCTCTTTGACTCTTGTGTCAAGCTCATTCTCGAGTATGCTTGCGTTGCATGGGATCCATCTCAACAGTATCTCATTGATAAAATTGAAAGAATTCAAAGCCGTGCCGCTAGATTTGTGAAAAATAATTAAATAATTACAACATTCGTAGCAGTGTCTCCGCAATAAATAAGGATTTACATTGGAAATCACTTGCTGTTAGGCGTAAGTATTTGCGCCTACACTTTTTTCAGTGTTTTGATAAAATTGAAAAAAATTCAAAGCCGTGCCGCTAGATTTGTGAAAAATAATTAAATAATTACAACATTCGTAGCAGTGTCTCCGCAATAAAAAAGGATTTACACTGGAAATCACTTGCTGTTAGGCGTAAGTATTTGCGCCTACAGTTTGTTCAGAGTGTTTTGATAAAATTGAAGGAATTCAAAGCCGCGCCGCTAGATTTATGAAAAATAGTTAAATAATTACAACATTCGTAGCAGCGTCTCCGCAATAAATAAGGATTTACATTGGAAATCACTTGCTGTTAGGCGTAAGTATTTGTGCCTACAATTTTTTCAGAGTGTTTTGATAAAATTGAAAGAATTCAAAGCCGTGCCGCTAGATTTGTGAAAAATAATTAAATAATTACAACATTCGTAGCAGTGTCTCCGCAATAAATAATGATTTACATTGGAAATCACTTGCTGTTAGGCGTAAGTATTTGCGCCTAGAATTTTTTCAGAGTGTTTTGATAAAATTGAAAGAATTCAAAGCCGTGCCGCTAGATTTTTTGAAAAATATTTAAATAATTACAACATTCGTAGCAGTGTCTCCGCAATAAATAAGGATTTACATTGGAAATCACTTGCTGTTAGGCGTAAGTATTTGCGCCTAGAATTTTTTCAGAGTGTTTTGATAAAATTGAAAGAATTCAAAGCCATGCCGCTAGATTTGTGAAAAATAAATAAATAATTACAACATTCGTAGCAGTGTCCCCGCAATAAATAATGATTTACATTGGAAATCACTTGCTGTTAGGCGTAAGTATTTGCGCCTAGAATTTTTTCAGAGTGTTTTGATAAAATTGAAAGAATTCAAAGCCGTGCCGCTAGATTTTTTGAAAAATAATTAAATATTTACAACATTCGTAGCAGTGTCTCCGCAATAAATAAGGATTTACATTGGAAATCACTTGCTGTTAGGCGTAAGTATTTGCGCCTACAATTTTTTCAGTGTTTTGATAAAAATGAAAGAATTCAAAGCCGTGCCGCTAGATTTGTGAAAAATAATTAAATAATTACAACATTCGTAGCAGTGTCTCCGCAATAAATAAGGATTTACATTGGAAATCACTTGCTGTTAGGCGTAAGTATTTGCGCCTAGAATTTTTTCAGTGTTTTGATAAAATTGAAAGAATTCAAAGCCGTGCCGCTAGATTTTCTGAAAAATAATTAAATAATTACAACATTCGTAGCAGTGTCTCCGCAATAAATAATGATTTACATTGGAAATCACTTGCTGTTAGGCGTAAGTATTTGCGCCTAGAATTTTTTCAGAGTGTTTTGATAAAATTGAAAGAATTCAAAGCCGTGCCGCTAGATTTTCTGAAAAATAATTAAATAATTACAACATTCGTAGCAGTGTCTCCGCAATAAATAAGGATTTACATTGGAAATCACTTGCTGTTAGGCGTAAGTATTTGCGCCTACAATGTTTTCAGAGTGTTTTGATAAAATTGAAAGAATTCAAAGCTGTGCCGCTAGATTTGTGAAAAATAATTAAATAATTACAACATTCGTAGCAGTGTCTCCGCAATAAATAAGGATTTACATTGGAAATCACTTGCTGTTAGGCATAAGTATTTGCGCCTAGAATTTTTTCAGAGTGTTTTGATAAAATTGAAAGAATTCAAAGCCGTGCCGCTAGATTTTCTGAAAAATAATTAAATAATTACAACATTCGTAGCAGTGTCTCCGCAATAAATAAGGATTTACATTGGAAATCACTTGCTGTTAGGCGTAAGTATTTGCGCCTACAATTTTTTCAGAGTGTTTTGATAAAATTGAAAGAATTCAAAGCCGTGCCGCTAGATTTGTGAAAAATAATTAAATACAACATTCGTAGCAGTGTCTCCGCAATAAATAGGGATTTACATTGGCAATCACTTGCTGTTAGGCGTAAGTATTTGCGCCTAGAATTTTTTCAGAGTGTTTTGATAAAATTGAAAGAATTCAAAGCCGTGCCGCTAGATTTGTGAAAAATAATTAAATAATTACAACATTCGTAGCAGTGTCTCCGCAATAAATAAGGATTTACATTGGAAATCACTTGCTGTTAGGCGTAAGTATTTGCGCCTAGGATTTTTTCAGAGTGTTTTGATAAAATTGAAAGAATTCAAAGCCGTGTCGCTAGATTTGTGAAAAATAATTAAATAATTACAACATTCGTAGCAGTGTCTCCGCAATAAAAAAGGATTTACATTGGAAATCACTTGCTGTTAGGCGTAAGTATTTGCGCCTAGAATTTTTTCAGAGTGTTTTGATAAAATTGAAAGAATTCAAAGCCGTGCCTCTAGATTTTCTGAAAAATAATTAAATAATTACAACATTCGTAGCAGAGTCTCCGCAATAAATAAGGATTTACATTGGAAATCACGTTGTTAGACGTAAGTATTTGCGCCTACAATTTTTTCAGAGTGTTTTGATAAAATTGAAAGAATTCAAAGCCGTGCCGCTAGATTTGTGAAAAATAATTAAATAATTACAACATTCGTAGCAGTGTCTCCGCAATAAATAAGGATTTACATTGGAAATCACTTGCTGTTAGGCGTAAGTATTTGCGCCTAGAATTTTTTCAGAGTGTTTTGATAAAATTGAAAGAATTCAAAGCCGTGTCGCTAGATTTGTGAAAAATAATTAAATAATTACAACATTCGTAGCAGTGTCTCCGCAATAAAAAAGGATTTACATTGGAAATCACTTGCTGTTAGGCGTAAGTATTTGCGCCTAGAATTTTTTCAGAGTGTTTTGATAAAATTGAAAGAATTCAAAGCCGTGCCGCTAGATTTTCTGAAAAATAATTAAATAATTACAACATTCGTAGCAGAGTCTCCGCAATAAATAAGGATTTACATTGGAAATCACTTGTTGTTAGGCGTAAGTATTTGTGCCTACAATTTTTTCAGAGTGTTTTGATAAAATTGAAAGAATTCAAAGCCGTGCCGCTAGATTTGTGAAAAATAATTAAATAATTA